ATTATTATTTTAATAATATTAAGTCTTCCAATTCATGAATATGGAATGTCTTTCCATCTATTTAGGTCTTCTTTAATCTCAACAATGTTTTATAGTTTTCAGTATCCAAGTCTTTCACTTTCTTGGTTAAGTTTATTTCTAAGGTTTTTAATTCCTTTTGATGATAATGCAAATGAAACTGTTTCTTTAATCTCACTTTCAGATTTTTCATTGCTAGAGTAGAGAAATACAACCAAATTTTTGGTGGTAATTTTGCATCCTGCAACTTTGCTGAATTTATTTGTCAGACAGTTTTTATTTTCTGAAGAGTTTTCTACACATAAGATAATATAATCTGAGAGACAGATAGTCCTATTCCAATTTAGATGCCTTGTATTTCTTCTTTTTGCTTAATTGCTCTAACCGGAACTTCCAGTACTATGATAAACAGAGGTGGTAAAACCGGGCATCCTTGTCCTGTTCTTATTTTAGGAAAGAAGCTTTCACCACTGAGTGTGATGTCAGTTTTAGGTTTTTCATATATGGTCTTTATCATATTGAGAAAGTTCCTTACTATTCCTAGTTTATTGAGTGTTTTTTGTTTTTTTTTTTTTTTGTTAATCATGAAAGGTTACTGGAGTTTGTTAATTTTTTTTTCAGCAACAATTAAGATAATCATCTATCTTTTCCCTCATTCTATGAATCTTGTGTAATATGGTGACTGATTTTCATTTGTTGAACCACTCCTGAAATCCTCGGATAAATCTACTATGTTTTGGTATATAAGCCTTTTAATAAACTACATGACAATTTTTTTGTTTTATTTTCTTTAGTAATTGCTCTAAGCTTGCATACATATACCTTATCAAGAATTGTCTTCAGGTTTACACTAAATATAAGTGAGATTTAGAAAAGTTATTTCTACATAGCTCACTTTCCTCTCTTTTGGAACTATTTTTATACATATTAAACCCATTATTATTTTATATAATTTGTTCTCTTTTAAAAAATCTGAGAAAAGAAAAAAGAGCAAGTAAATATTTATAGACTTTGTCTATAAAGGTTGTTATTTACCATTTCTGGTTCTCTTTCTTTGTTCCTCTGACTCATGTTACCATTTAGTGTCATTTTCTTATTTCAGTACAGTCTTGCTTCCGTCTATCTCTTGTGTGTTGTTTTTTCTAAAATACATATTTCTATAGGCCTGACAATGAAATATATACATTATATATTGGTAAGTTCTGTATTATAGTTTTATACATTGTTTTTTTAAAATAGTTAAGCAATGAAAATAAGACATATGACTATACTTTCTTTTGTAATTACCTGCACACTTACCTTTATTATTGCTATTTGTTTTTTTTGTGTAGAGTCAGATTATTGTCTGGGTTACATCCCTTCAGCCTGAAGGAACGTTCTTTGTTATTTCCTTTAATGCAGGCTGATAGCAGTGAATTCTCTGCTTTTTGTTAAGTAGGAATTTATTTTACTATCTTTTTTAATTTTTAGTTTTTATGAAAACCTAATAGTTGTATGTATTTATGGGTAGAGGTAATATTTTGATACAAGTAAACAATGTGTAGATCAAATAATGATAACTGAAATATTCATTACCTTAAACATTTATCATTTCTTTTTGTTAGGAACATACCAGTTCCACTCTTCTAATTATTTTGAAAACACACAATAAATTATTGTTAACTATAGTCATCCAGTGCTACTGAACATGAAAGATGGTTTTGCTGGGTATAAGTTTCTTGATGACAATGGTTTTCTTTTACCTCTTTGAATATGTTATCTCATCACCTTGTGGCCTCCATTATGCTGATTACAAGTCAGCTGTTAATCCTGGTGTTTCCTTGTATATACTATTCTTCTCTTACTGCTTTTAAAATTTCTTTGTCGACTTTAGCTTTCAATGTTTTTAATAAGATGTGTCTGGATAGAAACTTCTTTGTGTTATCTGTATTCCATTGAGCTTCTGTATGTTAGATTAATGATTTTTCATTAATGTGGGGATGTTTTCAACCTTTTTTTTCAAAATTTTTTTTCTGATCCTTTCTCTTTTGGTATTTTCAATTATAAATATGTAGGTGTGCTTAGTTATGTCTGGTATTTCTCTGATGCTCTGTTTATTTTTTCATTATTATTTCTCTGTCTTCTTCAGGATACACAATCTCTATTGATCCCGTTTCACGTATGCTGATTTTCTTCTTTTCTCTGTTAAACTTCCGTGGTTTAACTCATTTGATTCTCTTAGAGTTATCAACATTCTATTACTTGCTTATTACCAATATCTTCATATCACTATGCTTAAACTTATCCATGCTCTGTTCCAAATAGAAATCAGGTCACTTGGGGAGGGCTACCAAGCTGTGTGTTTTCATGGCATCCCTCTTGGTCAAATCTGTCTAACTGGTTTGAAGCTGTGGGCAGTGAGAGTGGCCTGCTCCTTTGTAGTAAAACCTTTGCTTACAAGTAAGACACAGGGCGGGAAAAGTAACTTCTTGACTTGCCTCTCCTGGTGTAGAAACTGTTCCCTGCAAGCAAGCTGGAATGAGGGCAATTGGAACACAGTATTTTCCAGTTGCCATGCCTGAAGACCTTATTTCCTGGAATGGGGAGTTGGTGTAAGAAGGAAGCCCCAGACTTCTCAACTGTTTCTCCGTGGATGGAGCTTCTGTCACACAAAGCTGGGGTTTATAAGAAATGCCAGCACCCAATCTTGGGGTAATGCAGAATCTCTGGAGTAGACCTGGGGAGAGAGGAAACCTTTGGCTTCTTGGCTATATCCATATAGAGTGGAGCTTCCCTCATACTGAGCTAGGGATAGGGAGGTTCAGGCAGAGGGTCTTGGCTTAAATGCTCAAACTCTCATTGTTATTACTCATTAATAAATGTTTCTTCATTTGATGTATTTCCTTAGGACATTTTCTAGAGACTTTCAATAGTTGCTTTTTAAAATAATAATTTTTACCAGTTATGCCTATTTCATATGAGAGAGGGTTTACAGAGCTCCTTATGTGACCAGGCTGGAAATGTGTGAGTACTATGTTTTCTCTTTGAATTTTACTTCCTCTTTAAAATCTATTTGCTTTGTAGGAGGCATAGAACAGATCTCCTGCAGCAGCTAGAGAAAAGATGATCTGAGGACTAACCCTCCTTCAAGGTCAAAATTTAGAAATGTTCTTTTATGCTGAAGATGTTTCTCAAATTTATTGGCTGAAAATAAAGGCTAATCCAAAGTGATATCTACAGTATTCTGAGAGAGAAAGGTTGAAGGGCCTTCAGCTTCTCTTAAAACACTTTATGAAAGGTTGACATTTTAATTTTATATCACGTTAATTCCAAAAATGTGTTTAGTACACACACACACACACACACACACACACACACACACACCCCAGATAGACCCATAAATACAAAGAAAATGTTGAGAGATGCTCATTGTCTTGGAATACTACTCCACTCTTTCCATTTCCATAAAATATAAAGAATTGACTGAAAATCCAGATCGTTCTTATTAGATTAAGTAATCTAACTGTAATGTATCCCCCAGCTACTGGAGTGCCATTTCCCATTTACTTACAATACAATGTCATGCTTAAGATAATTTTGGGTTATAAAATAACATTCAAATTGCACTTAGCAAATGTTCATTGGGAATGCTTTAGAAATCAGCACTTGTGCTCATGAAGAAGTGGTTACTCCTGACGTTGGCTTTCAGATACAAAGAGGGCTCTGCATTTACTCCAGAACTACGAGATTTACTAGCACAGAGATCTTCAGGACTAACAAAAGATATATGGGATACCTTTTGAACATTTAAATGACTTCTAGATAATGAATTCTCAAAATTCTTTTGAAAGTCACACAATTTTATAGTGATTAAAGCCTGTTTCGCTGCTAAAAACAGTATGTGTAACAGCCCAGAGACACTTAAAAAAGCTATTACATTTGAGCTCTATGACTGAATAGTTTAAGAGTTTTCATAAAGGTATTATAAATATTTTAAAGAAGTCAGTATAGGGTACTTAATACTAAAATCAGTCCCTTTCTTGTTTTTTTTCCCCCGAGATGGAGTTCTCAGTCTGTCATCCAGGATGGAGAGCAGTGGCATGGGCTATGTTGTCCAGGATGGAGTGCAGTGGCGTGGTCTCGGCTCACTGCAACCTCTGCCTCCCGGGCTCAAGCAATTCTCCTGCCTCAGCCTCCCGAGTAGCTGGGATTATAGGTGTGCACCATCATGCCTGGCTAAGTTTTGTATTTTTAGTAGAGACGGTGTTTCACCATGTTGGGCAGGCTGGTCTCGAATTCCTGACCTCGTAATCCAACTGCCTTGGCCACCCAGCCCTTTTTTTCTTTTCAAAACATGCTTGTCCCTGAGCAGAAGCTGTGTGATGCCCCATTACACTCCTCTAAGAAGAGTCAGGCATCAGCGAGCAAAGTGTCTGAGTGATTCTGTTAATGACATGCCAATATTTAGTTAAATGTGAATTTCCCCTCCTAGTTAATATGCTTGTTTTATAAGAAAAGACATTTTTATAAAGGCCTCTTGAATCACTTCAAGTCATTGTCACAAGTGACAATGGGTAGAAGGATTGGTCAAGCCTACGAGTTCAAGTCCAGCCTGGGCAACAGAGAGGCTTGAACAGCAAGAAGTTGCCTTTAAAAATTAAAAGCAAAAATAACAATGATGCTTTGCTGATCTTAAAATCAGAAGGGTACAAGGACAGAGTTTTGAAAAACAAATTATTTTGAGAGGATTAACATTGAACAGATGCTAGGGGTAACCCAGGGATCTTCTAAATAAGAAATCCAGAGAGGACTGATAGCCTTAAGTTTTCAAAAACAGTCATATCCCTTCTAAATTCAATAGAGGAATTTGGTACAGAAATTATTCCATTTCAAATAACGCGATCGTATCCTTTCTTTATAATATCAAATTCCAGAAGCCTTCTTCATATTATTTAAGAAGTTTCACATAGTTTCCCTATAACCTGCTCCTTGGTCACACTTACCATTGGAGCAGAACGGCCCATCGTATGCTGAGAAGGCACAGTCACAGGTGACCCCTCTGCGTTTCTCTCTGCATTTCCCTTCATTGCGACACAAGTGTCCATAGCTGCTGCAGTGTCCTGCACACCCCGGCTCCACTCCTGGCGTCACTGTGGCTCTTTCTTCCAGATCCAGAGCCACTCCATTCAATTGCAGAGACCGAATGCATCCTAGAAAGCCTCTCTGTCTGGTGGCCGTTCCACCTACAACGGAAACACTGCAAATAGAAATGTGTTCCTTGGTATTTTATTCAGGATTTTGTGTCCATGTCAAACTCAGGCCTTATGGAGAGTGGCAACAATCACAATGTGTTAAAAATTTTGTGAACATATGCAATTTTTAAAATATAAACTGTTAATGTGATATCATGAAGCTTTAAATGAAATTAAATAAAACATTTATTCACGCTACTTTCAAACATGGTGAGTCTGGCAAATAGTCCTTCTAAAAACATTTCTTTAACTTCGGGTAAGAAAGAATTTCACTTTAGTTCCTTTACAAAGAACAAAATATATGATATAAACCATATCAAACATTATTTTACTTTATGAATAAGAATGTGCATTATAATGGTCAGGTATGAACTTTCAAATTTTTCGCAATAATAAAAATATATACAGATAAATTTCTCACTTGGATGGACTCTAAAAGTAAAATGTGAAAACAAATGGAGAAGCAAAGGAGAAGTTGGAAGGGGTGACACCATGCCCCAGGATCGCCTCCTCTCAGAGGATACAGTGCTAAACAGTAATTGAATACGGCATGCATGCATATTTTGTCATGTCAAACATGAATGTGGAGAAACCATTTAGAGAGGTTTACAACACTTGTGTAGTGACAAACACCATTATGAAGGCAACAATTCTCATTGTTAGGAATACTGAAATTATCTAGAGTTTCCGGAAAATGCAGAGTTTTGTGTCTCTTCCCAGAGATTCCGATTTGGTGGGCCTAAGGTGGGGGACCCAAATCTGAACTGTCAATCAGCTTCGCGGGTGATTCTGAAGTCAGCGAATGCTGATTCAAGATGAGTTTTATGCTAATTGTGTTTCTAGGCATTCCATTAAATAATCTCCAAGATTACAAGTGAGAAAATCAAGTTCTTAGTTTGACTCCTCTGTGTATCCCTCCTTTCCAGTAGTTTGATGGTTTCATGTTCTTTGAAAAAGCCTCATTGCACCCTAGTATGTGAGCTAACCACACTTGAAGCTAGGTTTTAGAAAGTCATGGTATAATACCCCAAAACACATCCACACACCCACATCCACATACACACATGGATTCACTGTGTAGTATTTAGTACCTGGAAGTTGTAACTACCCCACCTCCTATAAATTGGGTTGTATGATAATTTGTGATTTAGTCCAGTTTTAATTAGATTGCATTCTTATTCACTTTAAAACATGTAAGAAATGAACACGTGAGAGCTTTAATCTGTGTAGCTCCTAAGTTAGAATAGTTTCAAAAGTAATATAGCAAAATATATTTTTTCCCAAGGGGAAAAATAAACAACAGTGATAAAACAGTAGTAAATAAGCAAACTAAAGGAAAGCCTTCCCTGACCCAGAGCTATCACCTTTAAATAAATGGACTGCAAGAACAGAGGAGCAAGACCAGGTTATAAACAAGGAGCCTGCCATGAGACAGCCCCAGAAGTGAGGACAGCAGCAAGGAAAACCAGGAGTGGACTCCTGGAAGCCTGGCCCTGGGGAGGTGCACAGTGCTGCTTCCAATCAGCAGATCTCCTGTAGCCTGGTTTTGAGTGGACCATGGAGGACTTCTGCCCCAATTACAAGTTCTCTAACTCCACTGAGAAGTGAAACAAGAAATGGATAAAAACATCTAATTATCACACTAATAGTGATGACAAAATATAGCTGTCACTCACACAAGCCAATCCTCTGCAATATGAATGGCTCAAGTTTGGGGATCTGCTATCCTGGGATCCCTCTCATTAGCTGGTTACTCCACCTCTCTGAGGCTTGGCTATCTCATCTGTAAACAGATGACAATACCTAAACGGTGAAGTATCGAATAAGACGCACACAGCAAGCTCCTGGAACCTACCAGGTTATCAGCAAATGGTGCCAACAGCAGTAATAGTGGTTGTTGGTAATTGTTGCTCGCAGTACATTACAGTTCTGATTTTCTTTTGGTCCCTCTCTGCATTCACACTAAATTCAGTTATAAACCACCAGCACTCACCGATGAAGAGCTGGCTGTTGAGCTGTAAACGAACACGCCCATCAGCCGGGGCAGGCTGCATCTTCCGAGGGAGCTGATCAACTTGAAGAGATGCTCCTTTAACATTTCTCTCTGCCCTCACATGGTGCCACCGATTGTCATTAAAGGGAGTGGGTGACTGCACTGTGACCTCACAAGGTCCATTCCCCACATCAAAGGAAAAGGTCACTTCTGTGGGAGCTAGAAATATTAGATACGAATATTGCTCAAGTAAATTCACAGGGAAGAAAATTGAGTCTGGTACAGACACAGGAAAACATGAAGGCATGCTCAGGATGGAAGGAGACAGTGACAACAATGCAAAAAAATGACTGATTTGGGAAAGGGAGGGCAGAATACATCTGTATCCTGGAGGAAAAAATGAAACAAAACAGACTTTAACATGTTTATACTCAGAGTTTACAATTCAACCTTGCTAAGTCCTAAATAGTAGAGATAATGTAACCATAGCTAGAATCCCAAATAGTATTTGTTTTTTAGGTTTCAGAGATTTTATTTACAAATGGCTCAAAGTCTCATCTAATTCTATAAACACTGAATGTAAATTTGGCAGTCATAAATTAAGCTTTGGGTATGTGAAAAACAATATGTCTGGTCAAATATTTTTGGAATTCAGTAAACAATGTGATCAGTTTGGTTTAAAACTCTGGCTCTGCTGTCCTGTACTCTGGGGCAGGCATGACGTTTTAATGGATTATTATGTCCTTCATGCCTCATTGTTTTGTTTACTCTTAAAAACGATAACCTGGCTGGGCATGGCAGCTCATGCCTGTAATCCCAGCACTTTGGGAAGCTCAGGTGGGTAGATCACTTGAGGCCAGGAGTTGAAGACCAGCCTGGGCAACATGGCAAAACCCTGTCTCTACCAAAAATACAAATGTAGCTGGGTGTGGTGGTGCGTACCTATAGTCCCAGCTACTCAGGAGACTGAGGCAGGAGAATTGCTTGAACCCAGGAGACAGAGGTTGCAGTGAGCCAAGACAGTGTCACTGCGCTCCAGTCTGAGTGACACAGCAAGACCCTCTCTCTCTCTCTCAAAAAAAAAAAAAAAAGGTTACTTAAAATCAAAGAAGTTTAGTGTTTTATAGGGAAATGCAATCACAAAGAAAGAATGAAATAAAGTTAACATTTTGTGGAGTTAAAGCTTTTATTGCTAAGTAATGGGTACCCTGTGACTTATCCAGAGTGGGCAGCTTACCCCGGAGTTCGAGCCTGATAAAGTCTGTGATCCCCAGGTTCTCCATAAACACCCCAGAGGAAACAGTGGTCTTAAAAAAGAAACACACGTCAGCAGTGAGTTCTCCGTGGAACGCAGGGAAATGAAGGTATGAAGTCTCAGTGTTGAAGGAAGCTGAATTCCAAAATGACTCTGTTTACAATAGAGAAAAACAACAAAAGGAAAAAAGTCATGAAACAAAAATAACAGTTACATTTGAAACTTACAGGATTATGTCTGCTAAACACATTAATAATGTATATGAGCCTTCAATGAGGGTTCTGAGCATCTGTGTCATATAGTTATGACATGAAGAGCTAAATGGTGATTATGTTGATGATTAGAGACCTGTGTCAGAGAAGGTCAAACAAAAGCCACACAAAAGCAGTAAGACCAGCAACACAATGGTGGCAGGGTCAAGTTCAGAATCATCTCAAAGGTGCAGCCGACAGAACTTACTGAAGAACTGGATGGGATGTAAGAGGAAGGGTGGAGTCTAAGATGACTTCGGGGTTTTTGGTCTAACTGGGAGGGGAAATAATTCTGAAGAAGCAGGTTTGAGAAGCAGCTCTATTTGGGGTATATTAAATTTGAGATATCTATCAGGCATCCAAGTAGAGATTTGAAGGACGCAGTTGGATAAGTGACTCCAGAAGCCAGAATAAAGACTCTTGCTTTCTGTCTTTTACACACACACACACACACACACACACACACAAACTGTCCCAATAATTCCCTTCATAGCAAGAACAACCAAGAACAAGAAGCTTATTTATTCCCTTCTGTCCAAAACGCACTCCAGGACTGCGCTTCACATGTCTTCCCCAGATCTCTTTAGTGCCCTTCATTCTGGAACAATGTGTCAGTGTTTTCTTATCTTTTGTGTTCTTTTGACTTTTCGGTATTTTTCAGTTGATTTGCAGAATGTTCCTCAACTTGGATTTGTCTGACATACTCACGATTGGATTCATGTTGTGCATTTTTTTTGCCTAAAATACCTCAGAAGGGCTGCTGTGTTCTCCTCTGTATGTCATGGCAGCAGGCAGCAGTGCTTATCAGCCCCATCACTGGTCCTGCTAGTTCTGACTGCCTTGTAAAGTGGCAATTGTTGAGTTTCTCCAACATGAAGCTATTATTTCTCTCTTTGTAATTCATATATTTTTGACACTTTAAGGTTACAGATACACAACTTTACCCACTTAAAAAATTTTTCACCCACTGGTTTTACAATGTATTGATGGCTCCTACTTGAGTTTTTTTTTTTTTTTTTTTTTTTTTTTTTTTTTTT